GATGTCAACCAAGTAAGCTATTTTCTGCAGTTCACTTTTATCGCTGAAAAGTGCTTCGAACTGCGGTCTTGCTTTCTGATTAAAAAACGTTTTGAGTTCATCACAAAGCTCAAAAACCCGTTTTAAAAAGTTTCCTCTCGACAACCATCTCACTTCAGTGTGAAATAGCAGAGCATTGTTCGGCGCATCCAATTCATTGCACAGTTGCGAAAACAGTCGACTGTTTAAAATGCTCACCTTTACACACTTGACACAACTTATGACACTTTTCATTACTTCTTGTAACTTTTGTGGCAGCGTCTTCGTTGTTAATATTTGCCAATGAATCATAGAGTGAGTTCCGATGACTTTTGGTGACTCATTCAGTACCAAACGTTGAAATCCAGATCGACATCCTAGCATAGCTAGAGCACCATCAGTGCAAACACCACAAACCTTTTCCCAAGAGATCTTATGCTCTTTCAGAAATGAACCCACTGTGTCAAATACATCATGTGCAGTATTTGTCGTTTCAAGAGGTTTGCAAAAAAGAAACGCATCTTTAAAGTCACCGTCATTAATATACCTCACATAATCCAGTAACTGTGAACAGTTTGCAACATCTGTAGATTCGTCAAGCTGGATACTAAATATTGGAAGTGGAGCAGATTTAATTTCCTGGATTACCTAATCAAGAATATCAGTAGACATGTCATCCATTCTTCTGTGGACAATATCATTAGATAAGGAAATTGCACTCAATTTCATAACAAATTTGTCTCCGATCGTAACTTGAACAATGTCTTTGGCTGCTGGCAATAGTAAATCCTCAGCAATGGTGTGACGTTTCATAGTTCTGGCGATTCCGAGTGCCACCAAATATGAAGCTTCGATGGCTGCTACGTTTTGTTTGTGGTACTTGCCACCAGTGTCAAGTCTGGCTTTCTTGAGTCCATCAGCTTTACTTCTAAAATAGTTGGTATCCTTGCCTGCAAAGCTCGGATGCTTGTTATCTAAATGGCATTTTAGTTTGTTCGGCTTCATAGATTCGGCTGATAGAACCTTACAACAAATAACACATTGAGGTTTCTCAATTCCTCCTATTATTACTGAGGTAAAACCATACTGTAAAAAATCCTCACTATATTTTCTTTACATGATTTTACATTTACCCAGTAATTATAATTCATGAAGTGTCGTTTTACCTCCAATTCTGCTGCTTTCAACACAGCAGCTGCTTTCTACACAGTAGCTGCTCTCTACACATGTGTGACTGGTCTGCATAAGTACATTATGGCACCAACCCTGTCACGTACACCTGCATTTGTATGGGGTGTATGTGATGGGGTTGGTGGGATGATGTCATCATGCTGGGTACTCATATTTGGGTACTGCATGTGGGCAGACCCGCCTGGAGACGGATAGAGGAGCGGTGTCTCAGTTCCTAAGACCATCGAAAATATGTGTTTTCTGATGGTCTTAGGTGACCCTGGTGAAAGGGTCGTTTGACCCCCAAAGGGGTCGTGGCCCACAGGTTGAGAACCACTGTTTATAAGTATTTAACGTTACACAGTGGAGTGGTCTGCCACAGCAGAAAAAGAATGGATTTTGATCTGTATAATTCAACATCTGGTTGTTACTATAATGCTAAGCCTACCACAAATACACTTTGCCAGATATGATTTAGGATTACATTATATTTTATTTTCAGCAAATGTATTTGAAAAGAAGTAAAATATATTACTAGGAATAAACAAACCTTAGTCTGTTTATATATTAATTTACTGAAATGGAAAAATCATTCGTAATGAAAATATTAACATATATTGAGAAGGCCCTGGACACCTGTATTTGCGTCTATATTTCCTTGTTAATGTTCACATCACCTCTATGAAAACATTGTATTTGTTATTTGTTGTAGAAATGAGGAAACAGGCTAATATATTTTGTATGGGCCCACAGCTAGCATGTGGGAAAGCTAAGCTTTGAATTCAAGTTGAGACCAAAATGCTACATAACACACCCTCCACCTACGTTGCTATAGTTTCTAGCATATTTTTACCCCAAGTATAAGAATAACCTGAGTGGCTAAATTTGGCAGGTGAAATGACCTAATTCTTATAGGGATTACATGATACACACACACATACACACACACATGCAATTAAGGACGATAGATAACACATTTTATTAAAATGTCTTTCTCTGGAGAACATACAGAAATTATTTTACTGTTTTTAAAATTATTTTGAATAGCCCGGCTGGTGTGCCTCAGGGGTTGAGCATCGACCCATGAACCAGGAGGTCACAGTTCGATTCCCAGTCAGGGCACATGCCCGGTTTGTGGGATCAACCTCTAGTAGTGGGTGTGCACTAGGCAGCCGATCAATGATTCTCTATCATTGATGTTTATATATATATATGTATATATATATATATATCTCCATCTCTGAAATTAATAAAGTGTAATTAAAAATTATTTTGAATGTATCTGTGTTGTCAGATAGTTTACTTTCATACAAAATTATGTGAATATTATGTCATTTCCAGATTTGTATAACTTTAAATTTGCATATTTTGTCTGTTCTTATTTATTAAAAACACATCAGGATAGAAAATGTGGCTTATAAGTCATAGGAATTATCAAACTTTTTTAACATTACACATATTTGGAGAGGTATGATAAGTTCAAATATTTTAAGTATAATGTATTTTTTAGAAGAAAATGTTCCGTGCAACTTATTTGATATGTCAGCCAGTAAAAATATAAAACATTGTTATTATTGTTGCTTAATAGGCGAGTTTATCTCTTATAATGACTAAATGATGTCATTGGTATTTCCTTTAGCTAATAACAGCATGATGTATGCCACAATTTATTCAGTGGTATCAACTGTCATAAAATAGAGCTTAAGGTTTTATATTACAACTAAGGTTAAAAATAAACTAAATCGAATATTATGGATACTATTACTTTAATCTGGTTTGTATAGGATTAATTAAATTCCTATGAAATTTTAAGTTGGGCAAGTAATTGTTTAAGTAATTTGGCAGGTTTTCTGTCCTTTGGTTTCAGTGGTAAAATTTATACTTAATGCCTAAATCTGATTCAATGAAACCATGTAATACTTTATGATATTTTTTCAGAATTAATAATAATAATTTGAGTTTTTTATCCAACAGGAAACGAATATTAGAGCCACATGAAAAAACTGTATTAAAGAATTATATTAGAATAATACATTTGAAAAATAACTTGCTTTGATATTGCAGAAGTGGATATGCATTAATTTTTTACATATTAATTTGCTTTTTGGCTCAAATGTATAGTGAGAGAATAGTCTCAGACCTTTAAGATTTTGCCAGACTCTGAAAGTACAATACAATATATCAGTTCATCCTTTAATTTCCTTTCTTTGTGTTCTATGAAGCCTTCCAGCTTCAAGGTTTGAGAGTCTTACAGTCTCACTTTACATCTTGATGGTGTCTTAGAGTGGTCCACAGAAACAATAGAAAACCACAGCTGTGTAAATGAACTTTACATTTACATGGCCTCTCGTTTTACCTTCCAAAGAAAACTCTATAGCAACAGCTTCTCTGTTATTGTTATAGAACATCTTAAAGGTTGGAAAAAAGGCAATAGAGATTCAAATCCCAAGAGATGAAGGTTAGATTAGCCTAATATATGCCATTAATTTCACAAGTGCCTGTATTTAAGGCTATAAAATTTATTTTGGAATTTGACTTGAATTTTCAACTATAAATGTATACATCCTATGATTGAATGGGTGAATTAACTAGAAAATGAGTGAATAAATGAGTACATGAAGGGATTCTTCTGTAAGTCATATACTCAAAATTATAAATTAGGTTTTCATAATGAACATGTTGAAGACTGTATTTATGAGAAATGCATGTGGAAAAACAACCACGTGAATATGAAGGATGGTGAGTCTACATTACATACTTTTTTTGAAAAAGAAGGTAGTGCAGGGGAGGAGAAGAGGAATGGAAAATAAGAGAAAACTATGTTAACATGAAGGGTCCCAGTACTATTTGTAAGATGGATCCCTGGATCTCAGAGAATTGTCACAAAATTAAACATCCCAGTAAGGGTATTTTAAAGATTGCATTAAATAACCATCGTATGCTTTCTGTTTCTGGAAATTTCCCCTTCTATTTGCCTCCAATGAATTCCAAATGTGCCAAACTTATTAGCTTGGCCCACACTTCTCTTGCTAGGCCCCAGTTGGCCAATGAGAATGCTATTTTAATCTACTGACCCTGCACCGGGGTATTTGCAGCCCGTGGAGGTATGAGCTGCTGTCCATTTTTCTCCCTCTACTGCTGTTAAAACTGATTTGTTGCAGACTGTACAGAGATTCATTTGATCTTCCTCTGCTTATGAGAATAGGTTACCAGAAGCCCCACAACTATTTTCTAGCTCTTCCTGATATGGCGAACTAACTTTGGATAGTAACCTGGTTTTCAATCTGAAAGCAAGCAGAAATGTCCCTTACTTACCACTATTTAAGTTGGAGATTGATTTTTAACTTAGACTGTTTAATGTATTTATATAAAGTCAGTAATGATGCATTTTAAAATTCTCAAAACTACCATGAATGGTTTTAGACTGAGGTTCAAATCTAAATTAAGTGATAGGTCACAGGTTGGATTCCAGGTCAAAGGCACATACCTCAGGTTTGTTTGCAGGTGTGATCCCAGCCCTGGTCTGGGTGCTTTCTGGAGGCAACCAATACGAGTCTTCTCTCTCTCAAGTCCATGTTTCTTTCTCTCTCTCTCTTTCTCTCCCTCCTCCTCACCCTCCCTCCAACCTTCCCTTCCACCCTCTCTAAAGATTAATGGAAACAATATCTTCAGGTAAGGATTAACAGTGAAAACAACAACACAGTAATAATAGTTGTACTCGTTTGTTTGATATTTATTAAAATGTAAATATTGACAATGATTGCCTCTATAAGGAGGTGTTAGCTTTAGAATTTAAATGTACTTTTTGTAGAATTAAAAGCTAGTTTGGAGCTTAACTAAGGGACCCCTGAATGGGAACTTTAGGACAGAGATAGCATAGTAGAGTTTCATTTTGTCTATGAAGACAGACATACTAGTTTTTTTATAATAAGGAATCCATGTTTTTGTGTGTGCATGTATGTTTAATCTCTTTCATGAAAAGCAGAACAAAACAAAAAAACTGCCTAAATCAGCATTTTGGCCAATGTATGAGAAGGAAAAAATTTAAAACTCCTTACGTTGTTTCCAGTTACTACTTTAAAAGAATTGGTGTTAGACATTTTTAAATAACTTGTGTTTTTCATAAGTTTATATTTGCAACTCTATAAACATGGGTTATAAAATGAATAATATTCAGAGGTGAGCTAGATAGGATTTTTGTTATTTGACATATTGCAAGAATTAAGAATTCTGTATATCTTTTAATCAAATTCCCCAAAATATTAAAATTTTACCTGTTACAGCATTTGCCAAAAAAAAATGACAACTTTTTTTTAAGCTCAGGGGCTACACATACTTTGTCATCCCATCAGAACTCACCAAACAAATGCAGAAATAAAGTTACTAATAATTCAAGATGATTAGTGAAGGACATTTAACCCCAAGTTTTGATCCTTTTGTATGTGGGGCTCAATGACTGCACAGGTTTCAAGGCTCAGAAGCCAGCCCTGTTTATAAACTTTATTCAGGTGTCAACTGTCCCCAAATTTTCTATTATAGCAAAAGGAAATCACTAATCGTGCACTAACTATGCACCTTTATTTTATTTCTTTAGAACAGTCTCTCAGTCTTTTGTGTCTCATGACAATGACACTTATAAATAACATAGGACAGTTATTTTATAGAATATCTCTCGATTTGAGTTTTTCTGATGTTTTCTCATAATTATAAAGTTTTGGGCAGGAATACCGCTTTCTTCTTAGTGCATCGTTTCTGGAGGCCAGTGATATTAGGAATAGTAATTTGCCAGCCCTCCTTCCTCTGTAGAGTCTATGTAACAACAGAATAAGCAGGATTTTTTCTTAAACAGCTTGCCAACTTTTTATTTGCCTCTTATATGAAAAACTGGCTATTTCAAATGGGATATGACCTTTGTTAATACTTAAGAACACTATTTGACTTCTAGCTTTGAACATTAATGATATTTTTCTACTTTTGCATAAAATTTTGGCTAATAACTCTTTCCGTCTGTCTTTCGCTAGAAATATTATCAATTCTCTTTTATGCATCATTAAATGTTTTCTCCACATTCATGATCTGTCAAAAATTTCAAGCACATCTTAAGCTTAGCTGCAGTAAGGACTGCTTATATTTTACTTACTGAATTTCAGGAAAAATGCTTGAGAGATTTGTTTATTTCCACCATGTATCAAGAAGAAATCACTTTAAAAATTCAGCTAATGAAGTGATAATTCTACTTGAACTC